AAGGCATGAGCCACCACTGCCTGGCTCAGTGAATATTGTTTGTTTTCATTTGCTTGAGACAGGATCTCACTGTGTAGCCCAGGCTAGCCTAGAACTTGAAGTCTTCCTCCTTTTCCCACATGCTAGAAATACAGCCCTTGCCTTGATTTGTTTTTGTTTTGTATTTTGAGACAAGGTCTCATATGGCCTAGACTGACTGCTCTTGAACTCATTATGTAGCTAACACTGCCCTGGCCATCCAAGCGCTAAGATTGTATTATAGGCACATACAAGTGTTCTACCATGGAGCTACATCCCAGTCCTCTTTTTACTTTTAATTTTGAAACATAGTCTAATTAAGTTGTCCAGGCTGTCCTTCAACTTACTTGTTTTGTTTTTTCAAGACAGGGTTTCTCTGTGTAGCCTTGATTGTCGTCCTGGACTCACTTTGTAGACCAGACTGGCCTTGAACTCACAGAGATCCTCTTGCCTCTGCCTCCCTAAGTGCTGGGATTACAGGTGTTCACCACCTTGCCTGGCTTCTATAATGTACTTTGTACTCCACCCTGGAGAACAAAGCACCCCTTTGAAAAACTTTCTAGTTTGCCTGAGCCTTTCAAGAATCTGGGATTACAGGCCTGTACTAACAGGCTGGTCCATTCTTAAAACTTAACGCCTTTTATATTTTTATTCTTTGTGCACATATGGTGTGATGTGTTTGTGTTTGTGTGTGTTATACATGTGAATGTGTACTTATGGATGCCAAAGGAAGACAATCGGCATCTTCCTATATTGCCACCCATTTTATTGTCTCCCACTGAGCCAGAGTTGGTCTGCCATGTGGGCTAGGCTATCAGGGGCTGGTGAGTTCCCAGGATCTCCTGTTGCCACCCCTCACTGTTGAGGTTTCATATGCCATTTTATTTTTTTTATTTGTTTTAAAAGATTTATTTATTATATATATAGTGTTCTGCCATACACACCAGAAGAGGGCACCAGATCTCACTATGGTTGAGATGGTTATGAACCATGTGGTTGCTGGGAATTGAACTCAGGACCTTCGGAAGAACAACCAGTGTTCCTAACCTCTGACCCATCTCTCCAGCCCCATATAGGACTTTATATGTGGGGCTAGGAATTTGAACTCAGGTCCTCATGTTTGTACAGCAAATTCTTTAGCCCACTGAGCCGTCTCCCTGACCCTTTATCTTATTTACATGACTTTTGTGGTTGCTGAGGCAGGCTCTCCTCTCACTGCGTAGCTCTGGCTGGCCTAGGACTCGCTGTGTAGATAAGCCTCAGATTTTTGGTGATGCTTCTGTCTCTACCTCTCCAGTCTAGGATGACAGCCTTATACCGCCATGACTAAAAATATTTTGAATTGTTTGGCCTTGGCCTTTCTGTACACTTGTATGGCCGTGCCGGGTTTTTGTTTGTTTGTTTGTTTTTGTTTTGTTTTTAAATCAGAGTATCCTTTACACTGACAGGTAATATGTAAATACTTTCTTGTTTTATGCCTTTAATTATGCTTATCTTTTTCAAGTAGGCAAACACAGTGATCTTTAATTACTTTTGGGCTTAGGAAGTCCTTATCTGAAATGACTAAGTTTTATATAGGCAAGTGTGTGTGTTGAAGAATTAAATCCAGGGCCTCCTGCATGGTAGGAGTCATATCCCTAGTTCCGTTGTTTGTTTTCCGGGCACTTGAGCTCCAACTCAGGGCTGCGTTATACTAGTCAAATGCCCTGTCCCTGACTTGCTTTGTTTTGCTATTTGAGACTGGCTCTCAAGGAGTCAAGGCTGGCCTCAGCTTTGCTAAGTAGCCAGGATGACCTTGAACTCCTGGCCCTGAGTGCTAAGACTAGATGCGTATACCACCACCTCTGACTGGACTCATTTTGTTTTGTTTGCTTGTTACTGTTTTTGTTTTTCAAGACAGGGCTTTTCTCTATGTAGCTCTGGCAGCCCTGGAACTCACTGTGTAACTCAGGTTGGCCTAAAATTCACAGGCACCCACCTGACTCTGCCTCCCAAGTGCTGAGATTAAAGGTGCCCATCCCCTACCACTGCCTGGCTGAGTTTATTTTGAGCTGCTAAACGTGCACACAGAAGGAAGACATGTCAACATCTGGCATCATTAGGGCTAGATTTTTTATGCAGGACAATTTCTTAATTTAATGTAGATTTTTTTCCTTTCATGTACTTCATGTAAGCACCCCCTCCCTTATTAAAACAAGGGTGAATTTGTATCATGGTCAAATTATACCTCAGTACTTAAAACTGAAACACAAGTTTTCTTGAGGGCTGAGAAAGCAGCTCAGTTGGTGGGGGTGCTTAATTCAGACGCACAAAGCTCTGGGCTCCATCTCACAGCCATATAGACTCGGTGGTGGCACATGTATCCCAGCACTCAGGAGGCAGAGACAGGAGGATCAGAAACTGAAGGTCAGGACTTTGAGATGCTCAGAGGATCAGTCTCGTGCTAACCAGTCCAGTGTCCCAAGTTCAACTCCAAGGACCAATACTATGGAAAGAGAGAACCAGCTCCTGCAAGTTATCCCCTGATTTTCATACGTGTGCAGGGAAGCGTGAATGTACAAGTGCGCATGCACGACAAATAAATGTAATTCAAAACATGAATAAAATAGAGTTAAAAAGAAGTCCAGGGAGAGATGGAGAGATGGCTTGTGGCTAAGCATGTGTATTGCTCTTGCAGAGGACCTGAGTTCAGGTCCTAGCACCCCTGTCAAGTGCCTCTCAACCACCCATAAACCACCCATCCAGCTCTAGGGTGGTGTCCAACATCTCTGGCCTCTGAAGGCAAAGGCAAATGCAAATAATTAATTATGTAGGCTGAAACAAACCCTTTCCTCCCACATTGCTTTCCGCCATGGCATTTTATTACAGCAAAGGAACCCTAACTAAGACAATATTCCAATTGTCCTGGTTATTACACTGGAATTATACTTCCCTCAGCCTCTGCGCATAAGAGCAAATGAAATTATTTTTAAAGGAGTTAGTTTTGTTGTTCCTTGCATCATCAGCAAACACCGAGAACCTCATATAAAAAGACCAAGCTAAAAACAGGATATAATCTCCACTTTGATCGTCTAGTGGGGGAAAAAGCTACATAATAAATATGCTGTTATAAAAGCAAAATTCCAAATGTCCCATTTTACCAATGAAGACTCAGGAGCCAGATGTTGGGGTGAAGGCCTTCTAGCTCAGAGAGGCAGAGAAAGCACCCAGCTGACCTTCCTACCCAGCTCATATCCCAGTAGGAAAAAGCCAAAAGCCCTTTCTTCTTCTCGATGCTGTCTTAAATACCCTTCTCTCAGTGTCCCTCCTTTCTGTTTATCCCTGTCAGCTGGTTACTTGCTCTGCCTCTTGACCTAGGGTTGGCTTTATTTAATCCTGTTTACATACAGAAAGCATTTGGATTAAAGGTGTGTGCTAGGGCTGAGCCGTTCCACAACTGACGAAGTGCCATTGGCACAAACATGAGGACCTGTTAGAACCCCCAGCATCCCAGTAGAACCTTGTTTCAGCTGTGGTGGTGTTTATAACCTCAACTGCTCTGAGAAGGAGAGACTCACAGATCTGAGAGGATTTGCTAGCTATCCAGTCTAGCTGGAATGTCAGCTTCAAGTTTAATGGGACCCTGTTGCCAGAGCCCACCGGCAGAGTCAAATAGTTCCTGAGTGGGGAGTGAGGACTGAAAGAAAATTAAAAAACAACCAAACAAAAAAACCACACACAATACACTACACATGGGATCTGTCAGAGAGGGCTGCCAGTAGAAACCGTCACACTGCTTTATTCCAGTCTCTTTTTATAGTCAGAGCAAAGTACCTCACTACAGTGAAGGAGTTCCAGGAGTCAAACTTGTTTACCTCGACCACTTGTCTGTGATCCTCACACAAACAAAAGGAAGTGAAATTGGCAAAACACCCTGCCTGTCCCTGTCTCCAGGTGAAGGCCAGAGTGAAAACACGTTTTTCCGCTGAGAGCCTGACAAACAAGTGGCTCTCCACACCCTGTGTCTTAAATTAAAGGTAAGATCAATAGATGACACCTTACCTCGACCTCTGGCCTCACATGTGCTCGTATGGGCAAGTCTAACAGCACACACAAATGCAAACACTCATGCACACACACACACACACACACACACACACACGATAGGGAGGTACGTGCAGTGTTACTGTACCTCGTAGAATAAATGCACCTGAGTAGGCAGGTGACACAAACGGCAGGGAAGGTTGGTTAGAAGGCGATTCCTTTCATCCTTTCAAGGACGTCTGGGCAGGCGTTCCGGAAGCCGGTGAGTCTGCTTTCTCTTGTAAGTAGAAAGGGAGAGAAGATGCTGCTGCTCAGAAACGGAGCCCCACCCTCCCAAGTGCTGGACTAGAAGAAGTAGCATGGGCACGAAGTTGCTTAGGATACAAGATAAAAGCTGCATGCAACAAACATGATGATTTTAGGTGGTTCAAGGTGTAGGGGTTGGCGAATAGGAGAGGGTAAGCTGGGGAACAGGGTATCATGGAACATTTCTTCTAGAGACAAAAGTGGGTGGGTGGGGGGACCCAGTGCTAAGGAAGAAAGACATGGGCTCTGTCTGATGAGTGGGCACAGACTCGGTGCCACCGAGAATCAGGACACCGGCCTGCTGCCAAGATCGCAGTTGCCCTCGCGGCCCCAGCAGGCTGCTGTGAGGTGCTCCATCTAGGTTGGGGTTGGGGCTGCCTGCCGCAGCGCGGAGAGCATCAGCCCCGCGCGGGCCAGCGGCGGGCGGCAGGGATCCGGAGCCGAAAGCCGCGGGACGCGCGTGCGCACAGCGCGGCGGCGGCTCGCGCGGCCGCCGGGAAGTTGCGAGCGCGGAGGCGCGCACGCGGGGACCCGGTCGCGCGCAGCCGCGGTCTCCGTAAGTTGTCTCCTTCAGCCGCCGTCGCCGTCGCCCTCGACGCGGTCGTCCCCGCCGAGCCGTGGGCGCCCCGTCTTCCGGGGCCCTGCCCGGCCCGCCGAGCGCAGCCTGCTGGGGAGGAAGGCGGCGGCTCGCGTCCTGCGGGCCGCCGGAGCCGGGAGGAGACCATGTCCGGGAAGTACCGTCAGATCTCCACGACCGAGCGCGTCATCAAAGGTGCCGAGCGCGCCGCGGGGAACGGCCCTCGTCGGGCGACGGCTCGGGAACTCCAGGAGCGGGGATGGAGGCAGCGGCGGGAGGCGCTGCAGGGCGCGGGGAGGAGCCGGCGGCCGTCCGCCGGCGTCCTCGGTAACTGCTGGACGGGTACCTAGCGGGAGGTGGGTAGAGCGCCCGCGCCCGCTACCCACTCCCCTAGCATCCAGCTGGTCTCTCCTGATTTCACTCCCCGCCCCCGGGCCCTTTCTGGGGGTGCCGACAGGATGCCGTCTAGGGTTGTGAGAGCAGGGACTTCCCTGGACTCACCGGCCGTGCCTTTCCTTAGGCTCAGCTCTTTCTTACTGCCCCGTGCCTAACCCTTCGACAATCTTCTGAGGTGTGTGGTGGGTTTCCTTGTGCACGCTTGGCCCGCTTTGTCTCGTTGTTGCTTTTACTAAAAGAAACGAAGCAACACTAACGCAGCTCTTCTTAACGATGCTTAACCGGGCTTACACATTTCTTGACATGGGGGTATTCTGTTTTCCCTTTGACTGGAGGGAACTGGTGAATAACAGTCTCTGAGATGTCTACCGTTATACCTGACTTTCAATGTTACTATAAGAAGAAAACATAAAAGTGCTTGTTTCTAAATCTTGTAGGGCGTTGTGGGATAGTTTCTGCCCTTTACCCAATAGGACCTGTCAAACATAACCACTGATTCATGTGGCTTCTGTTGTCCGGCTTGTAAGACCTCCTCCTCCTCCCTCTATAGTAATAGTTGGTTTGAGAACACCGTTTTCTAAGCAGGTTAGACCGGCTGTTTCTGGGTGAGGTGGTTTTCATCATAGTGGGAGAAAACTATTAAAATCCTTTTCTCCGTTTCATTTCAGTATTAGGAGAAAGGACGCTAAGGTCAGTAATGATCTTTTTTGAAGGGGAGCCTATTGAGTTCTCACGCAGAGGAGGACAGTATTAGTGTCATAAACGCTGATTGTCTGCCTTGCCAAACAGTACATAAGGTACTTTCCCGAGACTTACTTCCTCAGAATGTATTATCGGTAGGGATAACAAATTAAGTCAATTGTTCATAGAATGGATGTTAGTCCTTTAACAGCTAAAGTGTCATGATCACTTTAGTGTAAGTCTTCATAGCATCCAGCTAATAAGGAGGATATATGCCTCTTTTAATACTCAGAAATCACTCATACAACCTTATCTGGTGGACATCATTAAGGTCATCGTTAGGTACATTAACTTCTGAATTGTACTGTTAATATGGCCAGTGCATTCAGCTGTGTGAGGTTGTTGGCTGTTTCCTCTACATTAAAATGACTTCTTGACAATGTACTATTGTAGTGTTTTATTCCTCATTTTCTTTCCAGTACTTTTTCTCTGTCAAAATATGGCTGTTTCTCAGGTAGGCAAGGGAACCAGCTAAATCTGAATCCCGTGTCAAGTCGGGATGAATAAGACCTGAGCAAGGCTTAGTGCCAGACCTTCAAGAACCTCAAAGTCTAATCGCCTTTTGTACCAGTTATTTCCACCATAATGTATAAAGGATGTTTCTGAATGACTGGTTTTTACACCTACACAGAAGTGAAATGAAAGACACCTGAAGCGCAGGTGTGGTTTACTGCTAGTATGTTCACAGGATACAAACTTGCTCCTTAGCAGAATTACAGATTATCACATGCTGTATATACTCAAGACCTAAGCCTCTCTGTGTGTGAGCGATTGAGCAGGTCTGTTGTCCAGCCAGGCAAGCTTGTGGTTACCTCCCACCGAAGTTTTAAGGGCTGGGATTACATACTACATTCCTGGTTTAAGGCTTTTTTCTTTTTTGAGACAGGGTCTCTCTATGTAAGTCCTGGGTATCCTGGAGCTCAGTGTGTAGATCAGGCTGGCCTCAAAATCACAGAGATCCACCTGCCTCTGCCTCTGCTCAAGTGCTTTGATTAAAGGTACATGCCACCACCACGCCTGGCCTCTTTAAAAAAAAATATTATTTTACATATATGACTATCATGCCTGCATGTAAGGATTGCACCATGCGCATGCCTGGAGCTCTCAGAAGCCAGAAGAGGATTCTCAGAGTGGAAGTTAACAGGCTTTGTGAGCTGTTATGTGGGTGCTGGGAACAGAACCTGAGTCCTCTCCAAGAGCAGCAGGTGCTGTTTGCTGTCTCTCCAGCCCCAAGCCTAAATTAAGTTAATAAAAGTAAATGATTTCAGATACTTATAATATGTAGATTCACTTCACATATAAAAACGTTAGCATAAGCACTTGACCACAGCAATGGCAGATTCTGTGTAACTTTATTCTTCGGTTTTCCGGAGTTTGAAATAGTTTAAAGTCTCTTAACAAAATTGGGTTGTGAAGCCAATGTTGCATTTACCAACCGTGGTAAACCCCAGTAATCGGAGCACTGGAGAGGTGGAGGCAAGAGGATGAGGAGTTCAAGGTCCTTCTCTGCTCTCAAGTGACATCAAGTCTAGTCTGGGCAGCTTGCGATCCTATTTTTAAAAAAAGAAAGAAAAACGTGCCAGATATGACTGAGCCAGAAAAGCCTATCCTATTGGGCTCCAGGTCCCGATCTGATGCTCTTCTGTCTGGACAGTTACGTGCATTTATTCACAGCGCCAAAGCTGCATGGGAGGTGATGCCAAACCTGTTATTTTTGGTTATTTTATATTCTGTTAACTTTAAAGTCTGCTTAATTGTTTTGTGTGAGCAAATCTTGGAGAAGAGTGGGTGGATGGACATGATTGCATTTTAAATGGCCTTTGAATGCAGCTTGCTGACACTGAAGGAGGTAGAAAACCTGCTTAACTGCTTCTGGGGAGTTGCCTTTTGTGTGTGTACGAGTGGTTTTTTTTGTTGTGGTGGTGGTCTCTTTGTTTGTTTGTTTGTTTTGGTTTGGTTTGGTTAGCACCTAAAATATGACTTTTATTATATTTTTATTCTTTGCTTGTGAGCCTTTGCCTTTAACAGAAGAGCTATCTCTCCAGCCCTCACTGTCATTATAACATTATTTGTTTGTTTGTTTGCTTGCTTGCTTGCTTGCTTCCTTGTTTGAGACAGGGTCTCACTGTATAGCATGGCTGACCTGGAACTCACTGGAACAGATTAGGGTGACCTTTGCTGCCCAAGGCTTCAGTGTCACACCTGGCTTTTTACTTTGCTTTCTATTGACACTTGTGTCTGATTAATAATCTCATCTGTAATATTTTTTCTTATCTACCCTCACTCATAGAGTTGATATGATTGTGGAAACTTAAGATAATGTTAAGAAACATCGAGACAGTTTCATAATCAATCCCTCTGCCCCATGATTGTGCTATGTAAGCCCTGGCTGGCCTCCAGATTGGTGCAGTTCTTCTTTCAGAAGGGCTTCTTTACAGGCTTGTACCACTGTACCCGACTGCATACTAGATCTCCAGCTACCTAAGTTCTTAGCAGGGACTCATTCACAGTTGAAAAACGCCAAGGTTAAAAAGCAGATGATAGCATTAGAAGGGTCAACAAACAACCTTCAGCCTAGCCAAGAAACACCTGTTTTGAAATACAGAGGTTATGTGAGTAGAATCCTATCCACAGGATGAAGAGGTGAACTTGTGCCCAGTGTCTCTCTGGTGGCTAACTTCTTCTGCAGCTTATTTTATGCTTAAAACCTCTTAGGATCTCACTACTTCAGTAAGTGTTATTAGGTGTCATCTACAGTGTGTCCTAACTGTGTTCATTTGTCTCTCTACTTTGAAAGTCAAGTTTCTATGAGCCTCTAATGCAGAAGCTCTGGGCTGGGATCTTACTGCTGGTATCTGGAGCAGACAACTAGGTACCCAAAGAACTAAGTTATGAAATTTTTTACACCCCCTTCCCCACTTCTCAAGTTTCTTTTTTTGTTGTTGTTGTTTGTGGATTTTTTTCTCTTGGTGTCATGAGAGGTTTTTTTTATTTTTTCTTTCTTTTTTCTTTTTCTCTTCCTTCCTTTCTTTCCCTTTCTTTCTTTCTCCTTCTTTCTTTTCTTTCCCTTTCTTCTCTTTCCCTCCCTCCCTCCCTCTCTCTCTCTTTCTGTCTGTCTGTCTTAAAATGTAGGGGCTGGAAAAATGGCTCAGAGGTTAACACTGCATGTTCTTCTGGAAGTCCTGAGTTCAATTCCCAGCAATCACATGATGGCTCATGACCATCTATACTGGGATCTGATGCCCTCTTCTGGCATGCATCTACATAGATGGAGCACTCATCTATATAAAATAAATATAAACCTTTACAAATGTAGTCTGAACCTTGCTAATCATGAAACTTATAGCATTTAACAGTTTTCAAGTTTAATGCATGGAGAAACTTCTGCATGTACCCAAAGAGGAAAGAGAAGGCAGGTATATCAGAAGTGCCATAGCCAGAGGTAAAGTGAAGAACAGGGCACAAGGGCAAGTGAGTGATTCCACTAAGAAGCTGGAGAGGCAGCTCAGCAGTTAAAAATACTCGTTGCTCTTATGAGGATCCACATGGTGGCTCACAGCCACCTGTAACTCCAGTTCCAGAGCACCCTCTTCTGATGGCTGGTCATCAGGCATACGTGCGCTACACATACACTCACACAGGCAAAACTATCACACATAAAATAAGTTAAAAAATTTTAAAACCAAAAAACTTAGAGAGGATAGCAAGATTATTTTGATCTTCTTAAAAGTAAACTTATCAACCTAATTTATAATAATAAAAATATAAAAAAAATTCTAGCCAGGCAATGGTGGTGCACGCCTTTATTCCCAGCACTTGGGAGGCAGAGGCAGGTGGATCTCAGTTTGAGGCCAGCCTGGTCTACAAAAGTGAGTCTAGGAGAGCCAAGGCTCCACACAGAGAAACAAAAAAAAATTCTTAAATACATCATGAGCAGTGTTAATTTTTTATTTTATTAGACCGAAGTGAGGATGAAAAAAAGGTTGAGGGATAAAATACTAAAACTATTAGTGAGAAGAGGAGAAAAAAATCTAACTTGTTTGGTAATTGGCTCAAGT